GACGTGGGGCTCGATCCCAGGACCCCGGGGGTCATGACCTGGGCCCGAAGGCAGATGCTTAACCGACCGAGCCACCCCAGGCACCCCGTTTAATGTTTTTAATATTTACAGCTTCTTATGTTAAGCGAGCCACCCACCATTTAAAGTATAGTCAGGGCTACAGACAACGGCTTTGGCAATCCTGGAATCCAAGTCTTTGGGATCTACAAACTGCACGTAACTGTGCAAATTACGTAGGAAACGACATGTTTATTCCAAAATGACATGGAAAAGCCACTTTTAAAAATTCCTTATCCTAACAGCATTCACACTTCCTATTATAAATATTACCAGTCTCCACTTTTCTTACATTCTACTGCAACAAGGTACTTTAAAGTAGCTGAAAATATTATCAATACTCGGCACCAGGATTATCGAACTGAGTAATACAGTTAGATATTTTTGGGTGATGTTGCTAACGTTGGTCGCAAGTGCCCATTGCAAACCTTTCTATAAACAAACACAGAATTGGTTATTTTATGAATTTTTAAAGAAAGTATTTTAAAAGGTAGAAAAGAGAGGGGAAGCCTTATTTACAGCCTCTCCCCTTTTCTCCTCTGCCGCTCCACGAGATAAGCAAAACGAGCGCAATGTGTTCAAACGAAGGCAGGATACAGTTAAGCGTTCTGCACTGACGTAGTCGATGAAACATTAAGTTGGTATAAACACCTTCTGGCTGTACTGTTAACATTTTTAGAAGAATTATTAATATCATGTCAGTTTATAGCTGATTCCTGAATTCACCTGGCCCCACTGTTTTCTCCATCAGCAGACGTAGATTTGGTACGTCGAGACCAGAGAGGCTGGCCTGCTAAAAAAAACCGAGTCCCTAAGGAAGTGGGTAATTGATGGTTAGGCTTTCACCAAATTAATCCGTAATTCTGCATTGTTTTCAGTAAGGCCACAAGAAACGGGTATTTCTTGGGTACTTTTTTTTAGGTGAATTGTCAAACCGGCTGTTGTATTTCGGAACAAGTGAGGGTGGAGCTTCTTGGTTTCGTGGAAATGGCAACTGCAGCCAACTGCTAGGATCTGAGTGACGGAGCTCCTGACGGACACTCAGGAGCATTTTTGTCACCAGGCCATTGCCTGAGTTCCAGCAGTTCTAAGAAGTGGGTCAGAAGGTAGAGACGAACCCTGTCCCCGATATGGTTTCGTGGGAAACGGCATCATGGTCCTTTGCTATTAAGGCAGTAACCAGGGAAAGGAAAGGGAGCTCGGCTCAGAGCTGATACCTACGTTCATCTTGGGCCCATCCCTGGGAAAGCAGAGAGGGTCGCAAAGGTCTCCGGAACCGAGCTGGTATCTTAGAACTAGACTTCGACTTAGATTCGACTTTAACGCTTGCATTTTACAAGCGAGGAAACAGATCCAGACGGCGCTGCCCAAAGTCACTGGTGGCAACTAAGCCAGAACCAACACCCGGGTCTCCTGACTTCATCCAGCGCTTTCCCACCACAACCTCCCGTTTGTCCACAGCAGAAAAACACGTGAAATGGTATCTCCTTCAATTCCTTGAACTTACCAGCAAGCTAATGAAAATAATCTGGCAAAGGCCTTTTGCGCAGTGTGTTCCACATTTTCTGCACCTCCTAGGAGGTGCTTTGGGGAGGAGCTATTAATACAGAACTGTGAGGAAAAAACAAAACAACAACAACAACAAAAACCCTCTAGGACTCAGCTGTTCCTTCTTCTAAATAACAAAATGGTGTATTTGGCAAGTGAGCGATTCGGTTCATACTTCAGCGGCAGAAACATAGTTAGGGTACAGGGTAGGCCCCGTTCATACACGTACAGTAAACAAGAGGTCAGCTGTGTTTATATGCACCTACTCTGGCCAATGATGGGATGGTCCAGATTCCAAGGACGGAAGCAGGTTACTTCTATTTGGCCACCCACTGAACACTTCCATAATACTGCACTTTTGAACAACATTCTGTGAAGCTTGTTCTCATCTCGGATGATACATTAAGATCCCGTGGGAGCTGAGGACATGGCTCATGCCACCTACGATGTCGGCGGTCAGAGGGGTCTTGGGAGGGTCTATCGTTCGTACTGTGTGGGCATCTTCTAGTGCTACAGCCGTTGATTTGCGCTTCTTGGTATTTGCGTCTAATATTTTTTATGGAATAATTCTAACATGGAGCAGAGTACAGCAGTAATGTATCGGGCTCATGTTCCCACTGTGTGTGCTATCGAAATCTAAAATTTCTGAATTGCCTTCAGATTCTTTGATAAAATACAAAGACATATGTACAATATATATAACTGGAAGCTGTTGGTCACCTCTTCATGATACCATCCTCCCCCCTACCTGTGCCCGCTGAGGTGACTGCTCTCCTGAATTTGGTATTTGTCACCCCCATACAGGTTTTTAGACTATTGACTGCACCAGTCTGAATCCATGTAAGTGTTGTTGTGCATGTTTTCGACCTGTCAATCAGTAACATCCTTTTAACATTTGTTTATTCCACTCAAGGTCTGGGATTTACCCACGCGGATGTGAATATAGCTCAATGAATTTTAATCCATTACTTTGTGCTACTGTATGGATATAGCACCATTTATTTTCCCCATCTCCGGTTGATGCCCATTTGTGTGTTTTTCTCATTTTGTACCATTCTAAACGATGTTGTGATAAACATTTTTGTACATGGTTCCTTATGCACATGTGCAAGAATGTGTCTAAAAAACTGCTGAGGGGGTGGGGTGCCTAGGTGGCTCAGTCGGTTAAGTATCCGACTCTTCATCTCCGCTCAGGTCTTAGTCTCAGGGTCATGAGTTCGAGCCCTGTGTTGGGCTACCCGCTGGGTGTGGAGCCTACTTAAAAAAAGATTGCTAAAAAAAATAAATAAATAAAGATTGCTGAAAGATGAGATTTCAGGATTGAAGAATATGCATGCGTTCGGTTCTTTGTCTGACTAAATTGTTCTTCAAAGTGGTTGTACAGCTTCTATTGCCCTCCAACCTTACCAATATCTGATTTGTAAGACTTAAATATTTTACCATTCTGAAGAGTGTGAAACGATACTGCATCGATATTTCAATGGCCATTTCCAATGTTACTTAGTAAGATGATCGTCTTCACCTATTTATTGACCAATCGGGTTCTCTCATCTGTAATTCTTCAACTTGCATCCTTTGCCCATTTTTCTCTTGAATTCTTTCTCTAAGTGACTTGTCATTGTATGTATCACATTCTATCCTGCCTTTTCACTTTGCTTATTCTGTCTTTTTGAACAGAAGTTCTAAATTTGGATGTTGTTGGGATACCTGGGTGGCTCAGCGGTTGAGCGTCTGCCTTCCGCCCAGGCCATGACCCTGGGGTCCTAGGATCGAGTCCTGCATCGAGCTCCCCGCAGGGAGCCTACTTCTCCCTCTGCCTGTGTCTCTGCCTCTCTCTGTGTGTCTCTCATTAATAAATAAATAAAATCTTAAATTTTTTTTAATGTTAACTAGACACTTCCTATTATGTCTTGTGATTCTATTTTTTTAAAGATTTTATTTATTCATAGACAGAGAGAGAGAGAGGCAGAGACACAGGCAGAGGGAGAAGCAGGCTCCATGCAGGGAGCCCAATGTGGGACTCAATCCCGGGTCTCCAGGATCACACCCCAGGCTGCAGGCGGCGCCAAACTGCTGTGCCACCGGGGCTGCCTTCTACTTTCTTTTTAAAGGAATTCTTCCTTCCTCAATATCACAAAGACGGCTCTCATTGTCTCTTCTAAAAATTAAAAGATGTCTTCATTTACTATAAATCCATTAGTCTAAATATCTGGTAGAGTGGATTCCCCTACGTTGCTCTTTTTCAAAATTGCCACAGCCATTGTTTTACCACATAAATTTTAGATTCAGCTTGTCAAGTTCCAGAAGTCCTGTTGGGATTTTGAACATAACCTGAATGGAATTTATAAATTAATTTGGTATTTGAATTGCTCTAGTGGCTTTTTGGACAATTTTAAAGACCTGGTAGCTGAAAGATGGACTAAAAAAATTTTTTTTCTCCACCTCTCAAAGAAACTTTATAAACTGCCATGTCTCTCCCACTTACAGACTTATAAATTCAATCAGTGAATATACATTATAAAGACCCAAAAAAGCCTGGAGCTCTCCTGACTCTTAATTCTGCTCCAGATATCTATCCTAAGAAAATAATCCTAAACGTGGGGGGCGGGGGGATCCTAGCTGGATATAGAAAATGCTCATTGCAGCATTTCTCCCAGTAGGAAAAAATGGAAATAACCTAAATATAAAAAACAGAGGCATGATTAAGTAAACCAGAGTAAACAAACCCAATGATGGACTATGCCAATAAAACTCGTGGCTCTAAGACTCATAGAGAACAATGAATTAGTGTTCACTTCTGGAAAAGCATTAAGTGATAAAATTAGGATATCAATTTTGCATACCATGTGATTACAGCTGCAGGAAAAAACCTTCAAATAATCTGCATAGGAAAATAAGACCTACTAAAATCTTTACAACGGTTTGGTTAGAAACAGGGATTGCAGATGACAGATTTCTCCTGCCAACTAGTTTGCATCTGTTGCGAAATGCATTTAAAAAAATATTTCTAAACAAGTAATGCAAGTGAGTCATACCCCAGAATTTCTTCAGGGCTTCATTTAAGGCTCAAAGAAACACTTAGGGCCGGGAGCAAAGCGTTCAAATTCCGACACTCGGGATTTGGATTCTGGCTCTGTCGGCTGATTATTTTAGTGACTTTTGGGAAACAGTATCCACCTATTTTCTCAGTGGAAAAAATGAAAACATTTAGAGATAGGGATTAGAAACAAACGGGCATTCATTCTAGAATAACTCTAGAATTTCGTCCAAGTCATGCAAAAAATGGAAAGACTGCCCATTTCAATCTCTCTCTCGAGTATAAAGGAGGGGGAACAGCAGGGAGAGTTTGCCATTTGAAAGTGAGAAATGCCCGCGTTACTTCTGTCGCACTTTACCTTAAAGACATGGAAGGCTTCGAACTGAATGTTGGGGCTTTTGTCTCGAAGGAGGTTCATCATCAGTTTGAGGTTCTCTGGCTTGCTGATGTACTTTGTCATGATGGCAAAGTTGTGTCGGTCCAGGATCAGTTCACCCAGCAGCTACAAAACAGAAACAAAGACAAAAACCCACAAAATTAAAGCAATACAATCTGCCTGGGAGTCATCGGATTCAAAATATATCACACTTCTTCCTGAAGAACAAACTCTTAAGTGTGGTTAGGAATGTTGGTTTAAAAAAAGAAATTGAGAGTCCCTAAAGTGCATCTTACATTTAGCACAGGCATGAAAGGAATAGTTGTTATTAAGTTATTTTAAGCTTTTCACACAGTTTGGCTCAAGTCGGTGATTAGTGCATTTCTGAATCTTTTTTTTTTTTTAAGCCAGTCATTGCTGCAGCTTAAAAAAGCTCTCTCTGTAGCTGTCATCTAGAGCCAGCCAGAAGCGAGTTCATTATTTTCACTGCTCACTTTAATCTTGCTTCCCGGTACTGCATTGCCTCTTAGGCCTTATGGTGGAATAAGAATAACGAAACTGACTCTACAGTTACACTCCTTTCCCTGAATAAATGTGCTCTAGTAGCTTCCTAGGAAAATAGGTCATGCCAAGTGAGTCTTACCTTCCCTCTAACTTTTATTACAAAACCTGCTAGAGAGCTGGTTGGGGCGTGGGAGAAATCATTGGCTGAGTCCATACAAAGTTTAATATACACAGCAAGTTTTTAAGGAAAAGTAAAACAAAACTTTCTTTGATGACAAACTAATAGCTCCCCCACAAATGCACAATTATTCCATATTACGAACTGAATGTGTAACATCCCGTGCCTCCCTAAAACCTACATGTTGAACCCCTAACCCCAAGTGTGATGGTACCAGGAGGTAGGACTTTCGGGAAGGTAGGATTGCAGGAACGGGACAGGTGCTCTTCTCAAACAGACCCCAGAGGCTCTCTCACTGAGGGCACCCTGATCTTGGACTGCCCAGCCTCCAAAACTATGAGAAATGAATATTGCGGAAGCCACCCAGTCTGTGGTATTTTTGTCATAGCAGCCCAGACTGAGACACTTCAAAACAAAACAAAAATATCCCAAGGTGGGCAGCCTGGCTGGCCCAGCGGTTTAGCACCGCCTTCAGCCCAGGGCATGATTCTGGAGACCCGGGATCGAGTCCCACGTCGGGCTCCCGCATGGAGCCTGCTTCTCCCTCTGTGTCTTTGTCTCTGTGTGTGTGTGTCTCTCTCATGAATAAATAAATAAAACCTTAAAAAAAACCCCAAGGTGTGGAGTGTCTGGGGGGCTCTGTCGGTTGAGTGTCTGCCTTCAAGTCTGGTCGTGATCCCGGGGTCCCAGGATCGAGTCCTGCATCGGGCTCCCTTCCCTGCTCAGCGGGGAGCCTGCTCCTCTCCCTCCCTCTGCCTCTCTCCCTCGCTTGTGCGCACTCCTCTCTCTCTCAAAATACATAAATAAAATCTTTAAAAAAAAGAAAATGCCCCAAGTGAGAATAGTTGACCCTCTAGCAGCACAGTTGACCATTCTCTACCTCGTGAACTTTTATTCTCATGTACTGGTAGCAATTCCTAAAACTCCAGCAGCCACGCAGCTGAAATGTGCCCTCCACATAGTTTTATATATGATCTACTTATTTTCGGATTCTCCTATCCACTGGGCTTTTTCTGGATGCTTCGGGATGGTAATCCACCGTACAGGTGGTTACGAAGTCCTGGGTGGGAGGGGAAGGTGGGAGAAAGCTGTCCATCACAATCCAGTCTAGCAGCAGAACCACCGGGGTGCGTACGCAACGGTGCAGGTGTGTGAGTGTGTGCCTGTGAGTGTGAGTGTGTGTCTGGCTGCCAGTAAACAAACCACCTTGCCTGTGATGTGTTGTTTGTCAACTTAACAAAAAGGAACTACGAACCTTCAATTTACTTTGGTGCACGAAAATAGTGTTTGTTGAACGTACCAAGTGATGACCACTGTTAGACGTTAGCCAGTTGCCTCAATCGTGGGACCGCGGTCCTGGAAACTGTTCGTCTTCATTTTCCTTAATCTCTCTGCAGCACCTAAAAGCTAACTAACATTCTTCTGGAAACTTCCTCTTGGTTTCAAGGCCACTGCATTCTTCTGGTCTCTTAACCTCCTGCACATTGTTCCTTTGCTTCTGTGTTCCTGCTCCCCTTCCTTCTGCTCTAGACATGGAGGAATTTCCCAAGTGCTCTATGTGAATCTCTGCTCTTTCTTCTCCTCCCAGGCTCATCTATGCCCATGGCTTCCACTGGAGCATCTGGGAAGAGGCCTCCCAAACCTACATTTCGAGTCTCAGTTTCTTTTTCCTGAGCTCTATACCAGCGGACCCTTTACTGGTGTCCCTGAAACCAGTTCCTTTTCCTCTTTGTCAATGACACCACCTCAGGAAGAGCTCAAACCCTCCTCGGCTCCTTCCTCCCCTCGCCCCTTGCGTCAAATCCACGTCCAAGGTCTGCCAATTTTCCATCTGTAAATGCCTCGGACATCCTTCGTTCCACTTTCACTGCCCGTATCCTCTTTCCAACCCTCACCACCTGTCACCCGGCTCCTGTGGCAGCCCGCAGAGCGGTCCCTTCTTCAGTGTAGACCCAATCGAGTCCATCCTGCACCGTGTGCCAGATGCACCTTCCCGAGCATCGGCCCTATTCGTGTCACTAATTCCACCAAGAGAGTGAAAGAATAAACAAACGGATCCCTGGATGCCTGTGGATTTAGGGGGAAAACAAACTCCTCAGGATGGCGTTCAAAGCCCTCTGTGCTGTGGAGTCCCTTCTGCTTCATTCTGCTTTATCCTCTCGAGCCCCGATGGCTCCTCAATCTCCTGCCTCTGCGGCGTCCCTCTTCTTGCTCCCAATGCCTTCCCCAGCTTTACTTAGAGGTAACTGATATATAGACATATTTGAAGTGCACATCATCCTGGTTTGAAATATGTTTACATTGTGAAACATTTACCAGCATCAAGCTAATGAACGCACCCGTCGCCTCAGAGCTACCCTTGGGCTTGCTGTGTGCTGAGAATGCTTAGATCTACTCTCAGCAAATTTCAAGGCCTTAGCACAGCACAGTCAACTACAGTCCCAGGCTGTGCATCGGAGACTCAGCCCTGAGCCTTCTCATAACTGAAAGTTTGTACCCGGTGACCAACACCTCCCAGCCCCGACCCCAGCGCCTGGGAACCACCACGCCACCTGTTGCTCTGGGCCCGGTTTCTCCCCAGCTGCACTCACTTTGCCCTGCCGTACAGACCCACTTGCCTCTTGAGAACATTAGGTCTGTATGGGCACGTATCCAGCTGTGTTTGTGTTTATACCCTTTATAACCTAACTGTGTGATGTGCGTGGGTGCCGTTGGGGAAATAAGGTCCACAAACTGCAGAAAAGAAAGCGAGCAGTTTGATTATTGAATATATCCACAGCACAACATTATAGGTAGTCTGTGGCAAAGACACTAGGAAAGACAGGTAAAATTCCTCCTTGTCTATCCGGCCACGCAGCTACAATCCATTATGTCTGTGTCTTCTCAAGATGAAGGGTAACCTGTCCCTTGGAAGCGGACTTGACAGCCGCCTTGCACTATGCACCCTTCACAGCTCACTCTGAACCCACCTGGCCGGAGCTAGCTACTTGCTTTAGCTAATTGCCTTTATTCAGCTGATAAAGAGAATAACAGAACTCTTATCTGACGAGCAAATGGTTACAGCTTGGAGAGCAGCCCTGAGGTTAATTTCCCCGATGTTGGGAAGGGAGACATGCTATCTTCCTGTGTTCACGTGCCAGCAGGTTGGCTCCCAGACTCTCTAAAAAAAACCCAACCACTTCTGGGTTGTAAAGCTGGCACGATTTATATTTGTACATAAAATATACCCACTGAAGATATACATGGGCATATGCAGCTACGCTTCCTTACAGACACAGATATAGAGCCATCTATAGATTCTATACTGATATAAAGATCTATATGAAATGTAAATAAAATCGAATATAATACATATCACAAAATACAAATACATATACAGAGAGTACACACACATGTCAAAAGGTCTCTTCAACAATAAAGAAATTTCATTAAAAAAATTTACCCTTAAAGTCTGCACTCACACACACACTCAATTTCAAGTGACATAAGTTAAATTCAGATTCAGTCATTTTAATTTCTATTACTTGGGGATGCCTACATGTAAATTTTACCCAATCTATCCTCTGCTAACATAATCCCACTACTTTTCTGAAACAATCAATTGTATTAAATCATCTGGCCAACAACACTGACTCTTTTAGCCAAGAAGTGTTCGTCTATTTTAATTAATACTGACAATGACAAAATGCTGCATTTCACCATGATACAAAGTGCTTAACACGATACTGTAACAGGTAAAATGGAGAGAGATTTGTTTTTGGTTCTCTGTGTTAGATTTTAATAGGCCTCTGTATTACAGAGTAAAGCCAAGCACAGCAAACAGAAATAATGACTTTTTTTTAAACTTGTGTGTTAATGAAATTGACCAGAGCCAAAACACCCCCCCAAAATTCTACCAAGCTTCTTTTAAATTATAATCTTTCTTGCTAGTAATTAAATGGCTCCAAAGAAGATAAGAAATAAATTCCCTAAGCTCTGTCATGTGAGGGGAAGGAATTTCCCTGTTAATTATTTTTTATTGACATCAGGCATCTAAGCACCCCAAGGTAGTTCAGAAAAACTTGGAGCATGATTAACAAAAGACAGCTGGCAGCAAGTACTTTGGAGCCAGAAAGCAGCCTGGCTTTAAGACAGTTCATCACTTACAGGATACTGTCCGTATACTCTTCTAATAATCTTTTAATAATGGTAGTAATAATAACAATAATCTAATAAACTCTCTTATTTTCTAAAACAATGAAGCGTCTATGTACGAAATATTACAGAATGTGGAGATGTAAACACGGCTGTGCCAAGACAGAACATATTGCTACCAGGGACCTAATTCTCAGAAGGAAAAACCAACAGTGCACCAGCAGGGCTCTCCTAAACAACGTTTTTCTGATAAAGACAAGAATACGTGGAATTTAATGAGCTCTCTCCTGGAATACAGTGAGATAAGACCATTTTAGTGATGTCTCCGCCTGTAATCTAGCATTCAAAGAAAAAAAAAAGGGCAAATCTTTCGTACTCATTCTAACAGCTTCTGCATCCTGAGATACGCTTTCTCTTTTACTAGTTCTTTTTTTTTTCTTTTAATGTCCAACTGGCGCTTGGCTTTACCATCCCGTAAATAAAATATTTGTGAGACACTCCACTATTGAAGATTTTAGGCAAGAGTGGCAGCAAGGTGGTACGTCTGGCGTAGGATTAATAAAGGACAGGCAGGAGGCCTTGTGGGAGGGCTGGGGCATCTGTGAATACCAGAAAGCGCCATCAAGAGGAAAAGGAGGAGTTTCAAGGCCTCATGCAGACTGGGCTGCTGCTCGCTGTGGCCCGGGGACCGAGCACAGGTGTCGAGCGCAGGTGTCTAGTGCCGAGCCCCGCAGCAGGGGGCCGCACAGTGCAGACGCAGGTGCCACCGGCAGTGAAGGGCGACCCTTCCCGCTCCCCTTCGCTACCCACCAAAATTGTATTAGGGTGGCGATCACACACCCGCTCCACCAACAGGCTTCTGTCTTCAAATGCAAATGCCTCCTGCTAGGGCACAGGACAAGGTGGGGGCTGGTGACACCCTGAGAAGGCAAGGGGGGCAATGGGCACAAGGGCGGGAGGGGACAACAGGGTGGCAGGAAGGAAAAAGCAGGGAGAAGGCCCAGGAGGGAGGTGTTCGGGGGGAGCAATGTAAGCTTTGTAACGGTGCTCAATGCCCTAGACACGGTCGATCACGGGAAGATTTCTATCACGAATTCCCGTCACTGCCGGAAAAATGGTCCAAGGATAAATTCCCAACTTAGTTCAATCACCTTAGTTCACACCAATGCTGCTACTTTGGCTCAAGATCTTACAGATTCCCACTAAAAAGAGGAAGGACTCAGAAAATGTATGAGTGATTTGATCAGTCATGTGCGGGCCCCTCGGGGCGCCGTCCTCTCTGTTTCTTTGGGATATCGGAGTGGGATGGGATGTGAAGGGCAGGGATGCAGCTCTCACTGATGTCCCCCTCCCGGAGGAGCAGTCCAACCTCCTCTTGACCAAATGGCTGCTTGATACGGAGGAAGGGGGGAGGGAGGGGAGGGCAGAAAGGAGAGGGTCCCAAGCCGACTCCATGCTGAGCGTGGAGCCTGATGTGGGGCTCAATCTCGGATGCTCAACTGACTGTGCCACCCAGCCACCCCCCAGGCTCCCCCAGGCCCCCCCAGGCACCTTTCCTGAGAGGAGGCCGCCCGCTGACTATGTGGCCCTACCCTGCTGGGCTGCCTGACTCATGGGGGAGGCGGGACCTCCCACGGGCATTTCATAGGTGATATGACCCCCGACAGCAAGTGCCCCTTGGTCACACGCATACCCCCATCACCCCAGTCATCACCTCCTGTCCTTGTGCCCTCCTTAACTGTTCTAAAATCACTGGAAAGTTATATATTTATGTATGTTTATCTATTTTTTCTTAGAGATTTTATTTATTTATCTGAGAGAGAGAAAGAGAGAGAGAGAGAGAGAGATTGCACAAGCCGGGGAGGAGGGGCAGGGGGAGAGGGAGAGGCAGGCTTCCTGCAGGGCAGGGAGCCCCGTGTGGGGCTCGATCCTGGGGCCCTGGGATCCTGACCCTAGCTGAAGGCAGATGTGTAAACCCACGGGGCCACCAGGCGCCTCTGTTTGTCTATTGTCTGTTCTCCCCCAACAGAATGTAGGTCCATAGAGGCGCAACTTCATTTTGTTGTTGGCTGTCGCCGTAGTGTTAGCAATAGGAGCACATAGATGCTTGCTGACCAGACGGACTGCCCTGTTATTACCCTCCTCGCCGCCCCCACCTCTGAACCTAACCCAACGAAACTATCCGCAGATAACTGAGAGCTGACTTTATTTTCTTTTCCAGCTGGTGATACTGTCTTTTAACCGCTTTCCAGAGTCTGTTTCACTGTTAATAACTGGCATTTTTAGAAAAGCACAGTTTGAGGGTATGTGATTAAGTACCCAGATTTATTAACGATTATTCTTTTTAAAGAATGACTATTTTCATAGCTCAGAATCTTGGCTGGAAATACAATTTGAAGGTGTCAATGTTAAACGGTGGAGGCATTAAAAAGGACCTGCAGTAAAACATTACAAGAACGCTCAGAGGATGGAACCCAGCAATGCTATATGGTGAAGAAAAAAAAAGATCTCTAGAAAAATATATTACAAATAGAGGTAAGTGCATCTCAGAAGCCCCATCACATAACCGTTTCTTCTCCCTTTCTTTCCAAAACAGGTCACTAAGTCATTTACAGAGAGATGTACAAGAGAAATACGGTCACTAGTTTTCTGTTTCAGATGCACTGAAAGAGAGCCACAGGAGGACTTTGCTGATTCCTCCTTGTAAACAGTAATTCAGATCTTAATTTCAAGCCAAGAGTGATTTCTTTTCATCTCCAGGAAATACATCCTAGGAGACAAGTGTGGTTTTATTTAAATTAGCTCAAGCTTGATTTTCTTTCTGAGCTGAGATATACTACATTCTACTTCATCATGTACTTATTATTTATATTGTTACTTCCAAAAAGTATTTGAGGCAAGGCACTTAAACACGGTCTTGCTACAAAGCACAATCATAACATGAGACATACTTTCCAAACTACAACAAAAACAAAAAAGGGCCCTTCAATTCTTCTCTATGTACTTGTCCACTAAGAGCCACCACTTACTGACAAGGTACCAACTGATAGAAGCTCGTAACTTAAAGAAATCTGATATTACCTTTAAGGATTGTCTCTTAGTCACATAATTCTCAGACAGAAGCAATTTCTCATAGTCTTCAAAAATCTAAGGAAAAGAAAACAAATGTGAGAGTGTAAGACCAGCCGTGGTTTCTCTGCATTAGGTTTGCTTGCTGCCTTGCTTCAAAAGTCACCCCCGAGCCCCAGGCCAGTGCAGCCCGGGGGCCGCTTGGCCCCATGCCGACGCCACTGTCCCAAGGCGGCTTTCGCCCACCGCATCGTGCTCACCGGGGGGTAGGAAGGCCCAGTGATGCCACCGACGGCCTTCTCCATTTTACTCTCGCCCCGCAAATTAACAATTGAGTAGAAAAATGGAGTAGTTGAGTCCTCTCAATAAATCCTTTTGGAGAGAACGTCTATCAACCCATCTATTAAGTGAGTAGCGAAGTAACACATTTCATGCCATTTTAGAGAAATTTAGATCATGCAGCCTCGCTGGTAGCTATTAGCACGCGAATGATTTTAGAAAGAGGTCAAGCAGCACAAGGGCTTCGCACGGGACCCCACGAAGAATCACACTGTCGAGATCGTAGTGAGACCACGCAGAGGAACGGGGCGGGGGGGGGGGTGACTGCTGCACAGTGGCCGTGCTGACCGCAGCTCACCTCCCCGGAGGCTCGGGGACACTGGTGTTTGGGGCCCCCGGTCCCCAACGTGGCTGGGGGAACCCCTGCCCGGACCCTTCAGAGAGCCAGGGGCTGGGGAAGCTAAGGATCAACCTCCTGCCCCCCAGGACAAGCTTTGGAGGCCACGAGGGGGGAGGCGAGCCCAGCGGAGAACTGAGGGCAGGAGAGGCCGGGCTGGGCCTGCGGAGGGTGGCAGCGGTGCTGGTCGGTCCTCGAGGGGACTGAGCGGGCGGGCGGGCAAGTGAGAAAGTGCAGGTGAAAACCAACCGCGTCGCTCATTAATTACACGCTTTTATACGAAGGCCTTACTGTTTATCGTCAGGATTCTGTGGACAGGAGATGGATCTAATGTTGCGGTAAGTTTTAAAATTTTAATTCCAGCATAGTCAACACAGCCTTATATTAGTTCCGGGTGTACAACATGTGGGGATTCAGCACTTTCCTACAGCGCCCGGGGCTCATCACCGCCAGCGCCCTCCTTAACCCCCTCACCTGTTTCCCGCCTGCCCCACCCCTCCCCTCTGCGCACCATCAGTGTGTTCTCTACAGTTAAGAGTCCTTCTTGGTTTGTCTCTCCTCTGTCTCTCTGTGTCCTTTTTCCTTTGCTCGTTTGTTTCTTAAATTCCACAGGTGAGTGCAATCACATGTAACTGGAACCCCCACATTCGTGTGTAAGGAATGAGCGGGCCCACAGACGCCAGCTTCATTATGTGAGGGTCCTGGATCGGTGTCCCATTTCCCAGGCTACCGCTAAAGACACAGGAGCCCCAGAAAGCATGAGATGTCACAGGGAGCAGGAGTCCTCGGCTGCTGTCAGGTCAGCACAGCAGGCCCAGTGCCCGTGAAGCCACCAATTTACACAAGACGTGACCATAGGCACAGAGTCGGGTAAATAAGGGATCGAAGGGAACGAGTTCACGGTCTTCCCAATTGTCGTGCGCGGTTTCCTGAATGCAGGGCATTCTTGCACAACACGTTGACATCACTCACTCTGTAGAAACATGCGGAGCTGACACCACGGGCTTGGTCATAAACTAGCTCAGCTCCCTTAGTTTCACTTTTTTTTTTGTAAGATTTTATTTATTTATTCATGACAGAGAGAGAGAAAGAGAGGCAGAGGGAGAAGCAGGCTCCACGCAGGGAGCCTGACGTGGGACTTGAACCCGGGTCTCCAGGATCACACCCCGGGCTGACGGTGGCCCTGAACGGCTGGGCCACCGGGGCTGCCCTTATTTTCACTTGTTGTAAATGTACGTCCAATGCGTCTTTAACCCCCCATCCGGCACCGATAGTTTCTGATCAGGTTCCTGCCTCTGGGGAGCTCAGGGCCAGCTGGGCGGGTACAGACACACCAGAGTACAATGTGGAAACCCGTGGCAGTGGCGGTAGGGAGGGAGGACCCGAGCGTGTATGCTGCCGGGTGGGACTCGGGAGAGCCGTCTAGACGAGTCCCCTTTCAGCTGACTCTCAAAAGGATGGGCTGGATTCACCACTTGGGAAGGGAGGTGGAAGGCAGGAGTATTTTGGCATGTCCACTAGTAAGTATAACTAATTACCAAGCAAGTAAGATGACCTCTTTTAGTGAGGGTGGAGTGCTCCTCTAGGGGCACCTACTGCCTCTTAAGGGCAACGTGGATGCTCTTACATCGGGATCAAAGTAAACGGGTGCCGGTCATTGTGGGGAGCTCCCAGATAAAGCAACAGGCACAGATGTGAACAATGAGAACGCCCTGATCTCCTGCCACCTTCCCTTTGCCACAAAGTTTCCTGATGACCTGGCTTCCAGGTAAATGGACAAACTGGGCGCATGGAAAAAGTAAGGCTGGTGTTTGCTGTGCATCGTAAACAGGAGCCAGTGTCCACAGATCTAAGAGGGAGAGAGGGGAGAGAAGGGACGACGCCATACAACCTTAAAAAGGACTTCTATACTCACAGTGTCATAGTTTTGTTCTAAGAAGTCTGCGACCAACACTTTATGTCTGGTTAGCAAATCCTAGAAAAAGAACAGTTGAATGAAACAAAACTATTATAGCTAATAAACTTTACAAGTCTGGCTTTTCCTTCTAAGAATTTCATAAGTTCCTGAAGAGTGTTTTCCTTACATACACAACATTATTTCCATTCTTAGTTTAAGATGTGAAATGCATGTTTGTTTCTTGTTAAAAACAGTAACGTGCTTTAACTCATATATCATTGTCACATGTATGAAAGGGGATAATTTAACCAGTGAAACAAATGGCACCCAGGAGACGGATTTACAGCATCTCTCTTCAAGCCATGACTACATGGTGATTGTGACATTAATAATAACCATCCAAATAAAGTTTATGATGATCTATTCAAAATGTTGTTAGTAATTATTTAAAAAAAAAGAATTCTGAATGGCTAAAAACTGCATCTCACAGGTTAACCTTGAAAGATTTTCAAGGATCTCAACTTTTAGTTTTTTTTTCCTTCCCCACTTAACCACCTTTAAAACAGAGGTACCTAGGACGCTGGGAATCACAAAAAATGACACTTGACTGTGCCGTCACAGGGCCATCCTGCCCCCGGGGTAATGGACTGCGTGGTGTTGTGCAGTGACTAAGTCATACAATGCACCCTTTCAAAGCTAAAGACAAGTAGACCGATCTTATTACAGGCGTAACTCTCAGAAAACGGAACAAAAGAATAAAGGGACGTTTGACTGTCTTCTACTCGCATCTAAGTTATATCCTTAATTCACCTTGGTGTTGAAAGAAAACAAGCCTCACCTAATTAATCCCTTTTATATGCTTAGAGGCCAAATACCCTGTCTGGGTAGCACGCAGCATTTAATTAAAAACATAACAAGAATTTTTAAGTTTTCCAAAGTAAGTTCTTGTACTTTAATACACATTTAATTAAAATTCCCTAAATACATAGAGAAGATCCACAACATCAACTCACACAGAACGAAAAGGCAGCTGTGGATGGCAAAACTCCCCTATCGCTATTTTAGTGAGATATTTAATGCGTTTCGCACTAAAATTTTCAAGTTCAGGAACAACGAGACTGGCTATTGGTATCCTGTCATTACTCATCATCACGTCGTTTGACCACTGTGCCTATCAGTGGAAACTGGTACTTTTGTTCTTTCCCCCCCAGTAGAACATTCAGTACTAGATTCTGGAACTAGAATTTTAAAATGGGAAAACCCCTCTAGAGGAACTCATTCCTGGCCTGCCCGAGGTCAAAATTCAAACAAGTTTCTCCTCCATCAGGGGACCTCGGAAAGGAGGTGTGGGCTCCGCGGCATTCCGTGGGGCCTCTCGTTTTCAGGCACCCGCTTCCCTATTGTCTTTAGCAGGATCAGTGATTTTTTCTGAACTGACCCCAGTTAGAAAGGGGTCAGCTAATAAGCCTCCAAGGGCTGCAGCAGCCGCCGGATCGGCGTGTTGCATGGGCTGGCAGGTCTGCGTGTGGGGCCATGCGTGTGCTCCCGGGGCTGCGGGCCTGCACACGCGGCGAGGGCCCAGCAGGAGCGCCGGCCGATGAGCGCTGCCTGGAAGGTTCCATTCCTGTACCTGAGCGTCACTCCAAAGAAAGGGGAATCCGGAGGGAGTCCTCTTTAGTAGCAGCATCTTCAAATTCCAAGGGAAAATACTTGAAATAACTTACACATCCAGGAACAGAAAAATAAAATTTGGTGGGATAGGATCGCTCAAGGAGAGTACATGGCGAGTACAGCCAATAAGCGATTCTGTCTCTCTCTCTTACACACACACTTGTGTGTATATATGCACAGCTCTACCCTCAAATTTCTGTACGTCGTAAATGCATGCACAAAACTGGAGGAATTGACCACATACACACGTCCGTGCATATACACACATAACACAAAGACAAACTGCTGCATCGTTATAGATCATGTAACGGTGGGGGGAAAAATAGCTAAAATCCTACCCAAAAAGGAAAGAGCAGAAAGGTGCAAAGAAAAATAAAGTTCAAATTTTAAATGATTTAAAAATTATTTAACACAGTGTGCTCTTCTATCTGCCATTTATGGGGGATTTACTGTGTGTCGGGAGCATGCAGAGCGCTTGACACACGTTATTTCTACTCTTCACAACAACTCCGTAAAGCAGGGGTTATTTTCTTCATCTCACAGATGAGGAAAATGAAACTACGAGGTTCATTACTTGCTCAAGGACATCCAGCTAGTCAGGTGGCAGAGGGAGGCAAGTTCAAACCCCTTCGATTCTTGGAAGGAGAGATGAAAGAAATTCTGGTTGTTAGGAATGCTTTTTTTTTGGGAAATGACAATTCGTAGACAATGTGCGGAAAAACTATAAACAATGTTAAAACAGTAATGATTAAACTGGGCAAGAGCCATCTTGGGGCTCAAAACAAAAAAGGTACATCTAAGAGGTTAAAAACAAAAGACAAAAACCAAACTAAAATCAAACTGAAAAACAAGCCTACCAAACAACCAGAAGCCCTCAAAGCCATTTACTTAAAAAGAAACAGTGATCTATGGTCACTGTTCTATTATATTAACCACAGCATTTTGGAAAAATATAGAAATTGGCATTTCTGATATTGTTAGCATACTGGAGAACTTAAAAAAAAAAGATTTATTTGAGAGAGAGAAGGAGGGGGGAGAGAGAATCTTAAGCAGGCTCCGTGCTGAGTGTGGAGCCTGATGCAAGGCTCGATCCCAGGACCCTGAGATCATGACCTGAGCTGAAATCAAGAGTCAGGCACTTAACAGACAGAGCCACTCAGGTGCCCCATCCTGCCTTCTTCTTTTTGGAGACATTTACAGTCATTTAGATTTTTCAGAGACTTAAGTTTGATGGGACATATGCTGAGCTATCAAGTAAAACACCAATTTATTTTTGATATCCAATATTGTGCAGCAAATTAAAGTGGGCTGAACATTCCATTATCAAGCATAAAGTTCTTAAATGTTGAAAAGGCTTTGGGGGAACATCTTGAACAGCACATATTCATTTCTATTTGCTCTTTTGCCTCCGTGAGGGTTTGTTCTTTGTTTATAGTTATTTGTGAAGCTTTGCTTACAGTCTTTTTAAAAAAGGAACCAAGTTTGTTTCCATGACAGCAGAGTCGTCGTGTCTATTAATAGAAAACATCTCCTCAGCTCTTCAGGCACAGACGGCTCGCTAGACACCACTGGAGTCGTCTTGTGTGTGAAGTCACCCTCTGTCACCGTGTGGCCTCCAGTGGCCCCGGGGGTGCTCGTCCGTGGCAGCTGCACAACCTCTGCTCTGCAGGGTGAGGCTGGGGGGCCTGCGGGGCCTTCCCTGCAGGAGCCCAGCAGGCGCCCCTGGGGGCTGTGCGCCCTCAGCCTGTCCCTCCCTGTCCCCCCCTCCCCTCACCGTCGGCGCTCTGGCTACTTCTCCTCCCAGGCCTTGCCTTCTCCGTGCCCGAGGCACCCCCCCTTCGCCGTCTCCCTGGGTGGGCCCTCTCGGGGAGGCCCGGGGCGCAGCAGGCCTAGAGACCGGCTCCCCCCCACGCAGCCCCCACACTGGCTCCTCACCTGGCCCAGGCCTGCCCAGGGCTCCTTTCCTCTCCCTCCAGGCACTTCGACCCTGGGCCCCCGCCTGCACCTGCCCACACCCGCCCACCTCCCATTTGTGCGAACTGATGTGCCCCAGGATGCTGTGCTCCCCGCCGGGATCTTCTCTCTGACAGGTCTCACCAGTTCAACTGTCCTTATTTCGAGGCATTTCTGGAGAGATGGTGCAAATGTCGAGGCAGGCTGTGTCCCTGGCGGGGCCCTCCCCTCGGCGCCCCCTCCGGCCTCTGCTCCCTGACGCTCTCCCACCCTGGCTGCCACCACGGGCGCGTCTGGATCTTCTCTCAGAGCCAGGGCACCTGCTCAGAGAGGCTGAGGAAACCCCAGTGTATGGACCACACGTGGTTTTCAGTGTAACAAGCGACCACGTTTACCTTTCTTGATCTCTGGAGAGCTGCTAAACGGAACTATTTATCAGCTGGGCCATAGGCAACTTTCAAGTCGCCCACATAAAGTACCAGGATTAAAGTATTTACTAATACTGGTGTGTGGACTAATGTCAATATCGCTGAAATACGTCTTTAAGATAATATATGAAAAATAAAAAGTCATACATGGATTAAAATTAAGTAACAACGTATATTTATATCCTAAAAAAAGAGTAGAAGTAAATTTGGAATGACGTAAATGGAACAAGTACATTGCTGAAATGCTTTTAAAGAAATGAATCTGAATATATACATTTAAATGAGTCTTGCCCCTTTTGTAATTGACTTTTTTTTTTTTGTCAAAGATGCTATTACAGCATCAGCTTAAAATATTTTCAGGATTCCTCTTCTAAAATCATCTTCAGAGCCAATGTGGTATACTCTGAAGGAAGTCAGACTTTATTTTAGTCATTTTAAAATTTCTTTTTATTATCATTACCATTATTATCACCAAAACCAAAAACAGTTCTAGCTACCACGATCACCCACTTTACCCATTAACCTGAATGTCAGACAGCTTTGCGCTATTTCCAAAACTTTTATGCGCCCTCCAAGGATGACGATTTGCCATTACTGAAAAATGAACATGCCACAGACAATGATACCAGTTTCAATATATATTAAATAATGGCAGGATCGTAAGAAGAAGTAAATGATTTCCAAAGACAGAAATCTTTAAGGTGACATCATTCACCAGACGTGTAAGTTCTAGTATTTTAGCCTGCAAATTAGCTACATTATTTTCTAATATGCTTTCTGAACATCTTTGTGATGGTCAAACTCAGAAAGCAGACTGGTGGTTGCAGGGCTGGGGGAGGGGGAAATGGAGCAGCGTTATTGCACCACAGCGAGAAGATAACTTGACCTTAGGAAACTGTGCACTAAAACATGGTAAGATGGCAACCTTATGTTATGTTATTTTATACCAATTAAGAATTTTTTAATATAAAACTAAGATTAAATTTATTTCCCATTTAGTAACAGAGTAGATAGTACGTTTACAAGAATATAGATAGTTATGAAAAAAACCCACAATTTATTTATGAGCAATTTGTTTCAGTGTGTGGGAATTTATGATTGCATTGATAAAGGATGTCCTTCATGTGCAAAGATCGTATCCATCATATGAAGGATCTTCAGCTCCCTTTGATGCCCAGTTCCCTTCCTTGCAGATGACCGCTGTTCCTGCTTCCCTGGTAATCTTCCACAGGTATTCAGCCCAGATGCACTTTAAGTGGCAGCTGACGCCCTTTGTTTTTTAACATAAATTAAGGCACGCTTTGCACAGAATACCACATGTGCACTTCTGTATCGCAATTCATTCTGTAGGAGTCTGTGACAAGTATTTTGAATTGTTTTTTCCACAGTGTGATAGACTGGCCTTCTAGAATGCATTACTGATGAGGCTCTTTATTTTATTTTATTTTATTTATTTTTATTTTTTTTTTGATGAGGCTCTTTATGATTGACATCATAAATCTCAGTTGGTTGTGCTCAGGTGTAAGGGATAGCCTTTTTTGCTTTTTAAAATTAAACTGCCTCCTCAGAGGCCAACTGACTTTAACTAGATGCTGAAAATAAATGACCAAACTGATTCAGGAAAAAAAAAAATTACCTTAAAAGTAGCAAAGGCATCTGAAGCGATATCGAATGTTGACAACTCCACATACTTAAAGAAGTCTCGGAACTGACTAGAAAACAGGATGATTTTGGCAAGTGGTTCATGTCGAATACATTCTCTCAGCATAATCCCACAACGTAAGGCAATCTGTGGGGCTTCATATCTAAAGCATAATAAACAAGAGACAGAGAACTCTGTTATCCTAATAACAAAGTAATATTAATGGTATCAAAAGACCCATTTTGATACTCCGGTTAATGGAACCATAGTCGCCATTTGTCACAGTTCATTCAGACACCATTCCTTCAATACCCACTGACTATCTCCGACATGCCTGGCACTATTCCAGATGCTGAGGACACAACAGTAAGCACAGCAGGTCACAGCCTTCCTAGAGTTCATGTTTTTTAGTGAGAATACTAGTTAGTCTCTGGGAAACGAACTAGGGGTGGTGGAAGGGGAGGAGGGTGGGGGGTGGGGGTGAATGGGTGACGGGCACTGAGGGGGGCACTTGATGGGATGAGCACTGGGTGTTATTCTGTATGTTGGCAAATTGAACACCAATAAAAAATAAATTTATTATAAAAAAAAGAATACTAGTTAGTGGGGGTAAGAGACAGATTACAAACAACGAAAAGAGATTTCATGTTCTGAGAAGTGCTATGAGGGATCCCTGGGTGGTGCAGCGGTTTGGCGCCTGCATTTGGCCCAGGACGCGATCCTGGAGACCCGGGATCGAATCCCACGTCGGGCTCCCGGTGCACGGAGCCTGCTTCTCCCTCTGCCTGTGTCTCTGCCTCTCTCTCTCTCTCTCTCTGTGACTATCATAAGTAAATAAAAATTTAAAAAAAATTAAAAAAAAAGAAGTGCTATGAAACAGAAGACATTAAAATACCTATACTACAGAGTGTGACTACTTACCTTAGTTTAGTTTAGACTGAGGGGTCAGGGAGAGAGCAAAGCGTTCCAGGCAAAGGGAACTAACCGCAAAGGCTCCAAGGCAAGAACCAGCTTGGTGAGTTAGAGATAAGCAAGGCCAGCATGGCTGGAATGTAGGGCAGGAGTGGTGAGGAGGGTGAAACGAGGCAAGACTGGAGAAGGGCAGGAGCCACATCACAGAGGGCTCCCGCTCCACAAGCTAAGATAAGGAGGGTGGTTTTAAAGTGTGGTAGGAAGCCTCTGGAGAGTTTAAAGCAAGTTTAAAGCCTATGGCCTAATGAATGCTTTAAAAAGATTGCTCTAGGGCAGCCTGGGTGGCTCAGTGGTTTAGCGCCGCCTTCGGCCCAGGTTATGATCCTGGAGACCCGGGATCGAGTCCTGCGTCGGGCTCCCTGCATGGAGCCTGCTTCTCCCTCTGCCTGTGTCTCTACCTCTCTGTCTGTTTCTCATGAATAAATAAATAAAATCTTTAAAATAAATAAAATTAAAAGATTGCTCTGGGCATCTGTGGAGAATCTATTATAAAACAGGGGGGAGTGGGCAGGAGGATGAGTGGGTGCCCAGCTAGAGACGATGGTGGCCTGGGCTGAGGTGGTCGTAGTACGATAGAGGACCGTGGGCAGATAGTGCACATTGTCTGGAGGCAGAGTCAACAGGCCTTGCTGGAGGAGGGTGGGGAACAAATTTGGAGTGAAGGAAATTGAGGATTCAACGATTCCCCCTATTTTTGGCCTGAATAATTGGGTAGATGGTGGTGCCAATTTTAAAGACGAATGAAGGGCAACCCAGGTGGCTCAGCGGTTTAGCACCGCCTTCAGCCCAGGGCCTGATCCTGGAGACCTGGAATGGAGTCCCACGTCGGGCATCCTGCATGGAGCTTGCTTCTCCCTCTACCTGTGTCTCTACCTCTCTCTCTCTCTCTCCTTCTCTGTGTCTCTCATGAATAAATAAATAAAATCTTAAATAAAAATAAATAAAAAAATAAAGATGAATGAAACTAGTAGAGGAACAGTTCATTGAAGAAATTGAAAGAACATGTTAAGTTTGAGATGCCCGATATCTAAGGCAATAGAACGTATCTACCTGGAATTCAGGGAGAAGATAAGGATAAGGATAGATATTACATGCACTCAGATATATATGATTTGTATGTCATAGATGACCAATACTAAGTAGCTGTGTATTGACGGACTCACTGAAGTCATGAATTACAGCTCAAGGTGAAAACTGCACTAGAAAAACACAATGTCTACTGTAGGAAACAACTCAGGACTGGCACATTAGATCTGTTCCATCCCTGATTTAATGGCAATGCCTCCAGGGTCAAATTCAACCTGAAATAAATGTAGGTTTGAGTTATATTCCAGTGTTTGGTAAGGGTGCAAGAAAATCAACAGTACTCAGCTCAAGTAAAACAAACTCAGTGTTAAAATGATACAGTTGAGGGTGCCTGCATGGCTCAGATGGTTAGGCACCTGCCTTCAACTTGGATCATGACCCTGGAGCAGTGGGATGGAGTCCCGGATCAGGCTCCCTGCTCAGTAGAGAGCCTGCTTCTCCCTCCTCCTCTGCCGCTCCCTCCCCTGTGATCTCGTGCTCTCGCTCTCTCTCAAATGAATAAAATATTTAAAAAAAAAAAGATACAGGTGACCATTGTAGATAAATAGTAGAATAGAACAAAGGAAGAGATAGTTGTAAAAGACTGGGAAGTGTGTATAGGATTAAAAAAATCTTATTTCATCTCAGTTTAAATACAATATTAATTTTTATGGTTCTCATACAAAGCCCACTGGGGAAAAAATTCAATTATCTCAATTCTTGAAAAAGTGCTTTCCTATAATGTTGAGAAGAAAAAATGACATACATAAAGGCCCTACATAATCTTTCAAACTTACCATGAATTTTGCAAGTTAGAAAGAGTCCAGCAAAAAAAAATTTTAAAAGCAAAAAAGGCCACTGAACACATGAGAACTGAAATGAACAGATAAGAAAACTCAATGGATGAAAATCGAAACAAAACGACTCCCACACAAAGTTTCAAGATATAACTTGCCAAATATGAGTTGGGCAATAAAAAATCATGCATTATTCTTTGTAACATCTACACAAAATTTGATTCAAGAATAAAGTTCCCCTTCTAAAACTTAGGAAACCCACTACTTTACAAAATCAAATCTATATATACGGTAGGGAAAATGGTAAACAGGGATATTTGAGAGGATTCATTAAACTAGGGCAGTATTTATCATTTTTGTCCTGTTTTATGCTGAATCCTATCTACAAATAGCCTTTGAGTTTTCCCTGAATAACTCATATTAACATTAAGTGCTAATCTATTCAGATAGACATGATTATTTGCAGAATATTAAGAAAATGTCTATTTATAGTGTTAATAATTTCTCTTACCAGAAGAACTTGAAAATCAGTCTGCTGGTACACATGGAAGAGTTACATATGGGAAAATATTGAAATGTGATAAAGAGGGGTATATTTTCTAAACTGTGAAGGAGAAAAACAACGCTGTTCATTGGTAGAGTACGTTAGACAGTATGAAATAAAGAACTTATGATCATTAAAATCCAGACTTAGTGAGTTATTTACAGACTTTTGTAATTTGCCTCTGAACTCAACTTTTCAGTTTCATTTCTCATCCCATTCCTTATGTCCTTGGGGTCTGTCTTCATCTAGAATGTCCTTCTTCTTCTTTCATTTCTACCTTTAAGATCCTCTCTTATCTTTCAAGGCTTCATTCAAATGATACCTCCTCCTTGAAGTCTTTCCTAATAACCTACCACTCAGATTATTCTCTCTCTCCTTCATATTCTTACAACAGTTTGTCTGTAATTCCAGTTTAGCACTTTTTTTTTTCAAACTGCACTGTGTTACATCACCAATGAATTGTTAGACATCTGTCTTCTTCACCTCATTTCAAACAACTTCATGTGACAGGTTTTACTTCTTACCTTCTCCTGTCCTCCCTCACTCTCTCTATAGGGTTTCTGGATCTTATTTGTTACTTTTCCCTATCCCTACTTCAATCTCCAAAAAGTGCTTAGCATAATGTTTTGCATGAAGTAGGCATATAATGAAATTAATGAATTTCTTTCTTCTTCTTCTTCTACTTTTTTTTTGAGAGAGAGAGAGAGAGAGAGAGAAAGAGAGAGTGTGTGTGTGTGTGGGGGGTGCCTGAGTAGGTGGGGGAAGAAAAGGCAGAGAAAAAGAGAGAATCTTAAGCAGGCTCCATGCCCAGTGTGGCTCAATTTCACAACCCTGAGATTGTGACCTTAGCAGAAATCGAAAGTCAGATGCTTAACCAACTTGGCACCCCTGAAGTCAATGAATTTCAAACTCCAACTGAAATTCTTAATACTAGAACTTTAATGAAACTCAAACTCTGGCTTACACAAAATGTTGTATGATCTCTAGCCAACATTTTCTCATTTCTTAATTCCAAAACCGAGACTATCTATAAAAAGTTTATACTCCAAGCTTTTGTGTGTAATTAGTTCACTTTTTCCTTTCATTTCGTAAAGTTTATTGGAACCATCTGTGATATACTATTTATTCTTGAAAACTAAGGAAATATTTTTTTAAAATACTCCTCTGGGTCAGAACACATGTTGCATCCCACTAGTTTGTGCCTAACAGTGGAAATGTCATTCTCTGAGATGACAGCATGTTAGAATTAGGAATACTCTGGGATATATAAAGAAATTCTTAGTTTTCCTCAGTATCACTTAAGGGATCTGTAATTCATATATATCATTTCGAACTTTCTACTTTCTTGGATATTGGCTTCTGATAGTTTATTGCCTACTATATAAAGACGTGCTCCACAAATTAAGCCTATCTTAAGTTTCAAATCCCAATAACATTAATACCCTTATTCTTGGTTCAGAGTAAATATCATATCTATTCTTTCTAGTCCATTTATGAAAAAGGTTCTCAAGGGCAGGGACCATGATGAATCACTGTGCCTCCACAATGACTAATTTATGTCAGGTTGCTAATAAAGATTAATCCAATAAATGTTGAATCATTATTTGTTAGAACTGAATTACATCTTCCTTTTTGATTTGTAGTTTGGATCATATAGTCTGGCCTCTATGTTAGTATGGAGAAGGCACAACACTATATATGCATGTTTATTCAAATAATCACACTGTATAAGATTCCCTTTCTAATTTAATAAAAGCTAAAATATAAGAGCAATTGTCTCATTTA